ATACTAATCAATTTTAAATAAAAAATAAAATTAATTGAGAATTTTTATCTTAAACAAATAATGTTCCTTTAATAATAATTTATGATTGGAATAATACTGGTTCATTTTTATTGCAGTTATTAGCGAATTGTAAAATATTTAATATTTAATGTGAAAATTTATTACTTAAAATTTTAATGTCAGTTTGGATTAATAGCTCTATTATATACTATCAGTTATCGTTAATCACGTATTAATTCTATCATTAACACATTTTTACATTTTAAAAATTTCATATAAATAAATTTATTGTCTATGAAAATAGTGACTGATTAAAAATATTGCTATTGAATTAATTGAAATTAATCGAAGTATTATTGACCTTGTGGAGTTTTGGAAATTAATATTCGATTTAAACAAATAATATTATTTAGAACTTTTAAATAAATCTGGCAACTATAACAAGGATTTAAATCTTATATCTGGTACATAACTTCCTAAAAGAATCCTATATCGTAGGTAATTCATTTTTACTCGTTTTATTCATTCGTTGTAAGTACGCTGAGAAGTTTTTATTTTTAACACTGTCAATATTTTCAATCCAAAAATTAAATAACTCTTTAAATTAGGATTAATATTATTATTTAATTAAAAAATAAAATCGACTAAACGACTGAATGATGAGAATAGTAAAAGCTACTATAGTTAGTGCAGTATGAAGAATTCATCCATTTGCGTACGTTTTGTAGGTACGCGTATCGACACTTTAGCAGCTGATTTTGTGAATACTCGTACCTATTTATAATTCATGTTTCTGGTCGTTGAGATTCTGAATAGAGCTTATAACTGTTTATACCTACATCTATGTTATAAAATATTTTATTTAAAAAAAATTTAAACTGTTCTTAAAGAACCAACAATTTTGATTAAATATTCGCAAAATTTAATGTATTTAATATTTGTATAACTGATAAAAATAAGTAAGTTAAACGTTTTTGAAATGTTTAGATTTATAATTTTAATAAAAAAAAAGTATAGTAATAATATTAAATTATAAATTATTGCTCTAATTGTAATAAATATTATATTGACCAAAAGTAGTTAGTAAGTTACACTATAAATTAAATTAAGTCTTGAATGTACCTACATATAAATAAAGAAAAAAAAATATATAATAAGATAAACCTACAATTAACTTTGAGCAATGTTTTTGATTTAATAAAACTTACACTTTATCTTAAAAGATTTTCTGAAAATTTGGAAATTATATCACGTTCAATAAGTTCTAAAATAAACAATTGTAAACAATTCCGTGCTTTAAATAATCAATACAGTATATTAAATGCAAAAAAAAAATAGCAAAATTAAGTTAGCAACAGTAATTTATCATAATTTTACAAATTTTTCGAGAGGTTTTCAAGAAAAATCAACAAATATAAGCTCTATAAATTTCAACTCTTTTGTTCAATATTTGTAAACTTTACAAAAGAGAATTTTAGACATAAATAATATATCATTAAAAAATCAATGGCTCTACTGTAAATGGTTATCTAACTAACACAGTGAATACATTTTTGAATTTAAATACTTATGTCTTGTTTTGAAAACAGTCATTGCAATCAACGAATTAAATGTGCATTGGTGGTCATTACGTCTTAAATGTAGGCAATAATTTGTCATACGATTTCTGTTCATGTCTTGTGTACATCAGCATATAATAACATATTCCATCGTTAAACCATATCTTCAAAATAACAGCACCACCTTTTGACTATTAAATTATTGTAAACAGGGATAACCCGTAATTAAGAATCCTAAGTTGCAACAACTCTAGTATTAACAAATTAAATTTGATTTCTATTTTATTTTCTGTACCGAAACTTATCTTTTTAATGTATTAAATTTAAATAAGAGTAAATACTTAATTCTAAGTAAATAAATATTATTTTAATTCTCATAATGCATAAAGTGAAATTAAAAAAAGAAACCTTATCTAGACAAAAATTATCAGACAATAATCAATGTAGGTGAGTAAAATTTAAATTTGTAATATGAACGTACCCCACTAATGGAAATTAAATCAATAAGATAATTTAAACAATAAGTAATTGATTTGCACCTAAATAATGATAATTTTATAAAATTACCGTTTAATATTGATAAAATTAATAAGTTGAACCTAAAATACAATTACATAAAAATGAAATATTTAAATCGGGTTTTTTAGAATTGAAACAATATAAGAAACAAAAAAATATTTCTTTTATTCTAACTTATTTGAAAATTAAATACACAGTCTTAAACCATATGAATGATAAAACAAAAAACAAATGACTGTGAAAAAAATCGTAAGAATCTACTGAACTCCATGGTTAATAAAAAATATTTTATTTTTAAATGAAAATGTATTTTTAATTTTTATTAAATTCGAAATTTAAAAATAAATAATGTGGTATATTTATGTATTGTATACAATTTATTAACGTAATAAAATGGCCTATAAAAAAGATTTAAAAGAGAAAAAAAACTAATTTAGAGAGAGACGTTGTTGCACAAATCTTACTTAAGTGGTGGTTCTGTATATTATTAATATTTTTAAAAACCGATGACACAGCAAACTGATGCGATAATCCAATTTTTCATTTTTCTAATTTTGGGAAAATCCAAAAAAAAAAAGCACACATACACATAGTCATAGTTAGGTATACTATTTATTAGTTACCTTTCATTTTTTACTTCAGCTTCTATAGAAGCAGCATCCATAATTAACGTTTTATAAAACGACGTACTATGATCAGGGTTTAAATTATAATAAAATTTACTCCTTTGATAAATTTTATTGTAACATCTATAACAATGTTAATAATAAATCTGATTTTTGAATCCCAAAATATCAATTATAAAAACTTAATGCAAATATAATTATACGTTTTGTGTATTTTAAAATATAAGTGTTAATTATTTTTAGTTTTGCATAAAATTTAATTTAAACCATTTCAAACAATTAGCGGATGAAACAAAAAGAAACGAGAACTCGCAGATTTTTCGTAAGGTTAACTAGCCGTAAATGTATATAATATATTTCATACTCAATTGTTTTCTTTTATTTTTAAAATAACAAATGTAATAAGTTACTACAGAAATATGGCATTTAATTAAATCTATTACACTATATGTAGTAAAATCTCGTATTTATGATTTTAATTTTCTCATTCTTTTTAAAAGATAACCAAAAATATTTTCAACTAAATTAAATATGTCCAAGTATCAGCCTTTATGTGTATTTTAATATTTTTAGGGTTTCTGCAATACACATGATTAAAATCGATGTTTCCTAATCCCTGATCATAATACTTTACGACTAGAGGTCTTAGTCAGGCTGATACATTGCGTCCAGTTCAGGTACGCTTATCGGTGGCGTTTCCGATCTTCCTGCTGTAGCCGTTATATTTTATACTGATGCCAAATAGAAAATAAAAACACACACAAAAAAAAAAACACTGGACGACGATCTAGAGCTAACTGTCCAGATCGGTTTTTTGTACTCGGTTAAGATCCAAAATAAACGACTTAGCCTTTTCGTTTATTAGCAGTTTTCGAATAAAAACATTTTACGCCGTATACTAGCGACACCAGTGATGAAACATCAGAAAGACTTTAAATTAACCTAACCGATGCAAGAGTTTTCATTGATAAAAAAAAAAACCTTAAAAGTTATGAATTATTTATTGTTGACTTTCTTTATCCTAAGTCTTTGTCGTACTGATTTTGTATGAATAGAATATCTTGAGATATAATTATTGTTTATCGTTCACACAAAATGAACGAAATCGTTTTGACGTATTTGCATGTGAACAATAAATATTATTTATTATTCTTAACGGTGGCATTGTATTTGATTATATGCCACCACAAAATTGAGTTCATAGTCTTACATTTTTGTGCTTAATTGTAAAAAACCAATGTATAGTAAAATATGTGATACTGTTCAAGTTGGACGTTTTACCATTTTTATCCTTCTCGAGGTCTATAGACAATTTAACAGTAATCGATTTTTGATGCTAACGTCATTATACAATTCATGCAAAAATAGTACTAAAAAGTCAGGTTATTGGTGGTTTTCTCTACATACCAATAAACAAATCACTGTATCCGGTGTTCACCAATATTTGTGTTTAGAATTAGTCGTTTTCGAACTTTGACTATTCTTAACAACATGAAGTCTGAGGTATGTCAACGGGCAAGCGTGTAAATATAAACTTTAACAAATTACTCGACTTCACAAGTTGTTCATACGTTATCTCATTATACAATGATTATTTTTATGCGTACTTTGGACGTCCGTTTTATTCGATATACGAGTGCATTATTTTCAATAAAGTCACACCAGTCTAACTGTATTGTGTTATGACTTTGCATTGTGTGGTTATTGCACGGGTATTTAAGTTTAAATCGAATGTATCGGCTTAAAACTAAAACTATAGTCGACGTTTTAATTTATTATATTATATTATTAAAATGGTAGATTGTGCAGTCGAGTTAAATGCACAATATTTTAACGTATGGGAGACTGAGCAAATTTTTTAGTACCTTTTTTCGAGAAGTCGACAATATTTTAAAATTATTTAATGAAAAACGAGCGTTCCGATACATTCTTCAGATACTAAAATTTGTAAAATACTAAATGCTTAAAAATTGATTTTATCACCTGAATTGAATACTCTATATATGATAATATTAGTTATTTATGAAGTGAGCATTTTATAATAAATAGCCCGTGTTGAATGGATGTGTGTAAAACATAATAATAAACTTAATGTATTTAACTCGTATTTGTGACAATTGTTATTATGATTGTCGTTGAACAACGCTTCAATGTTGCTCACGAGCAGTAATGTACATTAATCACGAGATTAAAAACTTAAATTTAAATTCTCTCTGGATACTTGTGGGTAAAATTCTTATATACTTTATAGAAACGTAAAAACTCGACAAGAATATTGAAAAAATAAAAATCTTACCAATTGTAAAATATCGAAGTTGTCACCACACAATACAAACGTCAATGGTTTGGTAGGGTTCGCCGAGATGTTTGTGCCCTTCAATTTTCTAAGTTCTTTATTCTTCGGCATTCTAATCAAGGTGGCGACTAATGGCGGGCTGTAAAACAATAAAACATAATATTATAATAATACCTTCGTTTCCTACAATTTATTCATACTGCAAATAGTAATTATTATAATCACTGAAAACAATACAATGACGTGTTTTCTGTTGATTACCTACGTATAAAATCATATACAATATTTTGCTACTTATATATGCTTTCTACACCGTTCTAAATAGGGTAACGTGTACTAACTGATAATATTATTGTTGTTTCCTTTAATTTTTTTTTATGCCAACTTCGATTCCCCATACTCGTGCTGTATAAGTTTGATTCTACGCGACAGTGCATACATTATTTATTTTTATCGTAATTTTGAATAGTTAAAAAAACACTGGCTCCGAGTCCTCTTTTTTTCTACTTAAAATAAATTAAAACATCTATTTCGATCTTTTATAGAACGTCTCAAATATTCTTAAAGTTTCAAGTGTAAATTGCGTACCTCATTATCTTTAGTGAAATTAATTTGATAAGTAAATCCATTTTAATAAATTTATAACAATTTACTATAAATATAAACACAATTATCTTTTATGTTTTGGCGAATAAACAAAATAAAACATGAACAAATATTGTTATGATTTAGAACATCACAAGTATAATATGTATATTGTTTATTGAAATAAAAATTGAAAAAAATTCACTATGACTATCGAAGTGAAGCAAAAATTGAAAAATTAATAGCAAATTAATAGTTACATATTGTATTTAAAAATTATAAAAAATTTTTCATGACAATGAGTATTCACGTTGAAAATACCTAAATTTTTTTTCAACACTACACAAATTACGGCTAATGACTCTATGTTGCCTATACAATAAACCTTGCACTCGAGATTGTATTTGAAAAATACGTACATACAAAAAACAATTAAAAATCACCTACAAGTCAGTGTTATATATTTTTATCATAGTTTTGAATACATTTCGATAAATCATCACGATAATTGATAAAAAAAAAGCAATGCTTAATGATTACACGATCTCTTCCGAAACGATTGATATTTTATTGACGTGATCAATATGTATAATAATATGATCACCGTGTTTGTGGTTAGCTGTTTCATTTTTTTTTATATTGTAGAAATTAGAATATACTTTAAAAACTTCGTTCAAAGATAAAGTACAATGAAATATGAATTAAATGCATTTTTATAAATTTCTATAAACGGTGCATAAAACTTTTCAAACATTCGTTCAGTCTCACAATAAACTTACGGTAAACAAAAGCTAGTGAATGAATTTATGAGCCACTGTAACGTTAATGACAAGATTCTCAATAATTATATCGTCATAATGATATTTCAACGTCAACATTAAAGAATCGTTTAAATTGTAAAAAAAAAATAAACTTTTATCTATTAGTTCTACAATTTAACAACTTGTAAAAATTATCAAAAACTAATCATTTACAAACTTTTGTAAGAATTAAAATATTATATGAAAAATAATAATAAAAAGCCCACCAGTATACTTAGTCAGGCACCACCTTCTTAATATTTAGTCCTTAGTCCTTAGCATCGATGCAAATTATTGTTGGATTTCAACTATATCATCGAACTTTATTGCTGTACAATATTCAATTGTGTACATGTGAACTTATTATGATATGGATAATGTCTACACGTTAATTATTTGTCATTAAACCATACGTTTACCTATATTAGGCTAGTGCACCAGAGTCCAGGAGTTTCCATTCTATGACACAAAATGAACTATTTTGACACATTAATTTTTTTAAACCAGTTCACTTATAAGACTTATCATGGGCATCCCCTAACCTAACCAGAGGGGAGGGGAATTAATTTAAAAAATAAATGAAGATTTTTTTATACAATTTATGCTCACATTTTATTAATAGTACATTATTATGTTTCGTCATTATTACATTAAATTATTACAATAATTATTAGGCAACAAATTTAAAATTCTAGGAGGGTAAGGGTCCCGTCTTACCTCCTTGGAAACGCCTATGCGACTTATGTTTTGAGATACTGAACTCTAAGCTCTTAGCTATATTTTTATCTGAGTTAATATTGTGAAGAACTCGGTAAAATTCAATTTAAATAAATGGTTTTTTCCACTCGTACAATAAATTAATGGAATGGTACGATATAATAAACGATTTTTATCTCTGTTAAATGTCATTACACTTTCATCTCGTTGTAAACAGTGTTAACCCACGAAGTCAAAACATATCACAATTTCAATTCGTCGTAAAAAAAAAAATATTTGGATACCCCTGGTCCAACTGGTTAATTTTTAGACATTGTTTATGGATAAAAAATTAAATCTATATCCGAAAAACTGAAAATAGTGAACGGTAAACAATATGTTGGCCAAAATTTTGCGAACACGACGATTTATCGTTTTAAACACAATAATCACACACGACACTGACTTGTTGGTTGATTGAGCGGAGCGAGACAAGTGCCCACGACGACGACCAACCATGTGGTCTCGGTGCAGTGCAACGTTGCCCCGCAGCGAGTCTCTGCGTTTTAATTTATGCGTTTTTATTCTCGTGTTCGTAGTGTCATTATTATAATATTATAATATTATAAATGCCTCGTACACTTATTTAATAACACTCGACGTTATTTTCTACACTGTCCCACATAATTAATCCCATCAAGTGACGGTAATCATAATAATAATATATAATATAATAATGTAATGCTATAGTATATTATTCTATAATGTATAATGATAGGCGTGATGGGCGCGAGAGCGTTTGTCGAGTTTTCGCCGGCCGGTTCGTTTTCATTGTGTGTAGATACGATTTTCGAACTACCGTGTTATAATAGCACGTCATTAATAGGAGCAAACGTAAAATATATTGATCGCTACAATAATTTTCATTTTCATTTTGCATCTGAGAAATCAGCAGCAGTGTTTTACTCGTACTCTTAACGGCCTAACCTACCCACGAGTATACACGATATATGTCAGACCCAACGTTTTTCATTCTTATGAAACTTTTTCGCACCGCATCATAATATTGTTATAAATAATACATAGGTACGCGAAACAGAGTAAACAGACATAATTATAAAGATACTTACGGTTTAAATGCAATCGTTTCGTTGAAGAATACGTCATTTACTACAAACTGATTGACTTTTGAGCAGTTTTTAATATTTTTTTGATAAACGAAATTCGGAGTTCCAGGGAACGACTCTAAGTCGGTTATTGGAAATGTTGCTATTGTATTGGAAACGCCATTTCTACTAATAATGCTGCTTGTGAAATTTTCGCACGTACCTGGTGCGATCTAAACAATATACATGCAAACAAAATAATCGTTGATTAGATATTTCTTACAATGCTGTATCGTAGTAGTGGTCTTGATAAGATTTCAAAGACATAAGCAAAAAGAACGAATAGGACAATGATAAAAATAATGTACCAATAAAACTGTTTTATTTTGCTTACAGTCGTTTTACCAAAGCTATTTAGGCATAAATACATTTTTACTATTATTATGTTTTGAATCTTTTATAGTATTTATTATTAATAACAGACATATTTATTTCATGTAAATGTTTACATATTAAAATAATTAACAAAGGCTCAGAGGGGAGAGTGAAGGCAGGTGATTTCCATCGTAGTATCAATGGTTTTACGTGATCATATTGATAATCGGTAAGTCGCCAATCCACTCGATTTGAATTTATTCATATATTATTATGGAACGTCGAACTAGAAACAATTTTAATGGCTTGTCGTGCCACGGGGTGAGCGACTTTATAGGTGTACGAGGTACTTAGTATCTACATATATAAAATCTATGGAGTACTGGTATGTAGGTACATTCGACATGTTAGAATTATATTAATTATAATATAATTATTATTGTTGTTAGCACGCGTGGATAAGTTTAATTGCGCCACATTAATGCATTACGCATTTAAGCGCAGACACAACGGTCATTGTGAAACAAAAAAACACGTCAAAAATAAGGGTTAGTGCACGTTGGATAACGATCGGTAGAACGTATTGTAATAAGTATTAAAATATAGACTATGTAGTTTATAATTTATATCGTGCACGGTCCGAAACGATCATCGTACGACAGATAATGTCACGATGATATTAATAACAAAAAAGTAACGATTATTATATAATAATAAATATCATAAATAAATAAGACGAATTTAGGAAGTTTTTAATGATTTTTTAATAAGGGGTTTTCCTGGGTTGAATTTTTTCATACAAGCATATTTTTATATTTTTAAAGGTAATTAGAAACCAAATTTTGCTGCACTGAGTTATTTATCTGTCATTATTTCTTATTTCTAAATTATGTAATTGATTATTATTAACTATTTAAATTTAGCCATCAATTTTTTGTTTTATTCTTTAAATTTACGTTTCCTTCTCAATTAGGTACCATATGAATGAAATTTATTTTTAAGGAGATTCCAGAAATTTACAATCCGTCTCGCTGGGCTTACTTGAAATAAACTTTCTAGGATATAGACTTTTTTCTTAGCCTTTGATTAAAACTTTTAAGTAATAGTGGCGTATAAAAATAAAAAACAATCTTAATTACATACCTTCGTTATTTTCACCAAGTATAAAATCAAACATATCACACTGAAACAAAGGCGTTTAGAGCGCATATTGTTTCTCTCCGGGTTATTCATCTTGAATGACTGAAAAAAAAAATACATAATAAATTACAAATTAACTTATTAATTTTTATAAAACGTCATTTCAAGTTTTTTTTTTTTCAATGTGAAAAATGCTAGTATTATAATATAATCTTATTATATTATAATAAGTATTAATATTGAAACCAAATACAAGTGACAAATATTTAAAATGTTTAACACGATATTATATGAATATTATGATAATATGCGTAGGTACGTATCGATTATATTATACGCCATAGATATTTAAATCGATATATTATTTTTATAACGCGACCAACAACAATATCATATTATATTAATACGATCGTGTCGTACATAGTATCAATCAGCCGAACGGTTCAATCGGTTTAACGTCCGCGGCAACGTCGGCGGCGGTGGCCGTCGACGACAATCGATGCCATAACGATTTAGGACTTTGAACTTGAACCGGGGTCTCACGTATAATACGCCTGACACGGATAATATATAACACCGTATTATATATGTACATATACATACACAAAACGCGCATACTTTCACGGCCGACTTTCTTCGGGCGTCGACGACCGCGGGAGAACGTTTTCTCCATAACTTCGTTTACGTAAAGAAGAGAGAGAGAGAGAGAGAGAGAGAGAAAATTACTGAAGAAAACAAACCGTCTGCGGCAGCGAGTACCAACAATAATATTAATCTATAATATTATGCGAACGAACGTGGCGAACTCGGGTCGACGACCCGGTAGTAGGTATCTAGTCCGCGAAATCCAATGACGGCGGCGGCGCCGTCCCTCTGCGCGCGATCCGTACGCGCTTTACGGCTGTAATAAATAATAATAATAATAGTAATAATAATATCGATGACGGCGGTAATGACGATGACGATCATGACGATCATAATGATGATGATGATGATGACGATAATTATACACATGAGTAATAACGCGATAATAATATAAATACACAGTATCTAACGTGTCATATATGTGACGAGACAGACCTATGGCGAGTGTTATGCGTTATTAATTATTATCTACGAAACGCGTAAGCCGTTTAAAATAACCGATGCATGCGATTTGTTATACGCAATTTCGCGGCCACTGTAATAATTAGAAATGTAAGTTCGGTAAATTATTACCGCGTAAATTTACCAATTATTTTTATACAGGTAAATATTATATTTTACCAAAAAAATTAGTATGTGTCACCTTAAATAATTAATAAACGTCTTAACGAAATAGAATATTCTTAACATATCAATAGAATGAAATAGCTTATAATTTATATTATATAATAACTCAAACGTCAAACGTTCAACATGCCCACAACTACTGACAGTGTATTACATAACATATCATTCCATAAATTATTATCACTACCTATTTAAAGCACGGTTGTAGACATAATATTATAATCTTTACTTACAACTGTGCAATTAATAAATTTGATTTTATTGACATTCAAGATCTATGGACTATGACAGTATCATAATTCAGGGCTGTAGATAGTATTATCAACTTTTATTATTTAAAACTTATTAATTTTAGGTTTGCTGAGTAGTTTACTTTTTATTTAATTTGTGTTATTAAAAAAGTTGAAATAAAGCTGTAAGAAATTAAAAAGAAGTATTTTATAGAAGTTTACAATAGTAATAAGTTCATGAAAAAGTAGAAGTGAAGAGTTTAAAGAGTTTAAAGAGTTAAAGTTTAAAAACTTTTAAGGGTATTCCTATGGTGACATACAAAAATTATCAACATTTACCAAATTTACAGATTTTATGTAAATTTACGTAAATTTTTCTCGATAAATTATCAAAAAAAAAAAAAAAATGTACGTAAATTTTACATCTCTAGTAATAATATAACGCTCTATACCTACGTCGATAACGAAATACAAGTAATACCGAACAGGCAATATGATGGGTTCGATCGAATGGCGGTTATAATATTATTTTTCTGTCGTATTTCACGCATCTCGTTTGGAACACACGCGATGCTTTGGATATTATGATTTCGCCGAGAACAATAATTGTAATTGTCTCGTTGTAAACGGACGTGAAAACCGAAACGGCGTTATCACGAATTAGAGGTGTCTCGGACACGATCTACCAATAATCGTCGTTGTGCATAATATTCGAATCGATTCAAACGTCGGAATTAAAAAAAAATTAATCCGGCGTTTGGGTGTTGACAACCGTTATTGTTCGGTTAAAATACGCGGGTTGTTGCGTAGGTATCTGCCATAGTGTACCTAGTTAGTTACGTTACGAGCTGAGAAAATTTAAAAGAGCGATCGTACACGTGTCGTTCGTATTATAATACTTAGTATCCCCTCACCTCTTCTGACACGTTATGTGTTTAGTTTATTTTGTTGTTACGTTTAATGATATTAATAATACGTATTCGATAATATCATTCCTCTCAGGTGCCCAATTATTATTATTAGTTATAAATATATTCTTTGAAATTGTTAATTAAAAAAGTGTTTGGGTTTATTCGAGTTGACCAAAATATTTTATTCGGATTTCGGTCAACTCGGGCGTGTTACTTGAAAAAAAAAATCATTTGGATTTTAACCTATAGTGTTTTAATTTTTTTTTTCACAGATTTTTAGGTGTGTTTCGGGTTTGGATTGATTTAAGTGCAGAGTCTTCAAGAAAAATATTATGATGTGGTCCGCAGTTTTTGGCGAACTAACACGAATACATTTATAATTCAAACGTTCGAAACGGGTTCGACGAGCCGTTTACCGTTGAGCCGATGTGATTATAAATACCGATAAAAACGCAGTGTTATAACCTACATAATAATGTTAATATATTATATTGCTCGACAACGATAGTAAATCAACAGGCGAAATGCCGAAACCGATTTTGAACCACATGGCGGCGACCGAAATTATGCAGTATTATTACGTTCGGGGACATCGGAACCGTGTCGTCTCATTCCGTATGCAAATACGTGTGTATAACGTGATGAGAATAGCAACACAATACAAACATTGTCATTTCGTCCGGTCGAAAACGGTCCCGTCGTAGGATATGTAACATAATAATATATAATATCTGCGCAAAGTATTATATTCATTGTTATAATACGGGAACGGAGAACGATGACGTGGTTCGCGCATTGTGTTCCGGTAGTGCGTATTTTTTTCCGCTTCTTCTCCTCTTCCTCGTTGCTCTTTGACTTCTATTTCTTCTTCCCCTTCTTCTTCTCTTATTTCTCCTCCTTCTCGCCGTCTTCCTCCTACTCCTCCTCTTGCGCGTCATTCCTCCTCTTGTGTTATTGCTATAGGTACACAGGTACTCGACTTCTCTCCCCTTCGAAATGAGGTCAAACTCGGTTCGGTTCGGTTGCACGCCGCCGCCCGAGAGAAAGACGGTCAACGACCTTAACCGGGATATGTGACGTGAACGGCGGCGAGTTCATGAAACGCTATTATTAGGTGTGTGTGTATGTGTGTGTTTGTGTGTGTAGGCTGAATATCGTAATACTTTCACCGGAGTAGGTGAAATTTCTTAATCTATTTTTTTTGCCGACGACGATTTTTTAAAATCCTAATTTTTTTAAGAATGCGCGTTACACTTTTACGTCGCCGTCATCGCTGGTTCTAGATTCGGTAACGTCATATAACAGATATCGTCAAAATTCGTAAAATTTGTACCTATAGTACATGAGAGATCGTGAGTTGTACCACTCTACGCGCTTTGGTTTATTCGTCATAACGGTTGAAAACCCGTTCGTCACAAGCACGAAATATAAAATAATAATAACAATACTGTAAAGTATTATTATTATAGTGATAACTGATAATATTATAAGTACTGCCGACGTTGTGCGATTTATTTCCTGCTCGTAAAAATTTTTGATTTTGGTTATATACCAGTATTTTTTTGTCTTATTTTTGATAAGTAATATAAATTAATGTCACGCTAAAACATATAAATTATCAAATTATTATTTGCGTACATGAAAAACCTATAAAGTTTTAAATACTGTTTCTGCATATGGATTTTATATGGTCAATTTTAACGAAACGAGATTAAGACATAAAAATGTATTGAAATTAAATACGTTTTCAGAGTTACATTATAATATATTGTATGAGTATCTATAGACTATAGTCATTAGTCAAAATAGGTACCGTTATTGGTTTATTACATATAAGTTATTAAATATTGAGCAATCACGAAATTATACATTAGAAAAATATTGCTTCATACCAAATGTTTACATTATCTAATCATAATAATAATTTTAAATATCTATACCTATACACAAACTACAAGTTGATAGCAAAACAGACCAACGCAATAAATATATAGTAATTACAATCCGATAAAATAATAACTTGACCTGCAGTAATGAAAACGAATCATTTTTTGACTGCTGAAGAAATCTCTCTTATTTATACTAATTACAATATATAAAGAAGTACATTGTCGCGATTACCTGTTAAAAATCATTACGCAAATAATATAAGTTACACATAAGAGTTCGCTCTGAAGACGACGGTTTTAATTATATCTATTTACTATTAATTATTATACAACGAGCCATTGGTTGTTGTACTTATTTATCAAAAGTTATAATGTATTATAATTATAAAACTGAAATTTTCATGATGTGATATCATTTTTTTGTTTCTACTGTTTTAAAACATACATTTTATAATATTCTAAAAAGAATTATATGATTTAGGTAATACTAATTATTTAATAATATATTATTAATAATTACATATCATTTATATCATAGAAATGTTTACGAAATTTTTCAAAATTTGAATTTTTCTCTACAATTATTAAAAGTTTTGAAATAAGTACATAATGTCCAATAGCCAAATAGTGACGAGCGTAAATTATGTAATAAGCTATTAGTTATATTATAGTAGGTAAAACAAGTTTTTCGATATAAACTCATATAAAAATTCGTCACCTTGAAGTTAAACCAAAAAAAACAACAGGACCACCTTATTTAATTGAAATATTAATATTTAATAACTTAAGTATAAAATAAT